CTGGAGTTCTAAGCCCTTGGTTTAAGATCAGCCAGCCTTTTGAGTTTAGTTGCAATGGGTTAGGAAGTAATGATGATTTATATGTGTTAACGAAGGTGAATTTTGCCACCTTTCTTTAATTTTTCATGTTTGCTTATTGCTTACTAGCTGATATGTAGCTTTATGTGGTTGTCACCATCCCTGGAGATATTTAAAAGATGTGTAGATGTGGCATTTAGGGACATGGTTTAGTGGTGGACTTGGCAGTGTTACGTTTACGGTTGGACTCAATTATCTTAAAGGTCTTTTCTAAACTAAATGATTCTATGATTTTATTAATAGCAGCTAGAAAAGTTGGAATCTTGTACCTAGTTGCAACACAGGCTAAGATGGCAAATCTTTTAAATAAGAAGCTGAATTGAAAGTAAAATGCTTAGATAACATTTTAAATTAAGACATAAACAGAAGTAGCATTTGTAAAAGTTGGTCATTGTGTATACGTTGTGAAATTCTGAAAGGTCTGCTCTCAGTATCTGTAAAAATAATGGTGTATTTTCCTCTTATTTTTTCCTTGAGTGCAGTGTTTAGTGGTTGGGTTGGGCTGCAGCAATAGCTACCCACATTTGTACAAGAATACTTCTCGCAGATTACCATTTAATTATTCTTTGTAGTGAAGTCTGCTGGAGAGAGAGATCATGCATGATAGATAATGAGGCAGGGAGAAAAGCGAAGAAAAGATGGAAATTATTTGAGAGCTGTGTGGGTTGTGTTTTTTTCACTATGTGCTGATGAATTGGTGAATGATAGGCTTATTCCTCTGCTGTCTTTACATGCTGTTAATATAAATACGGTTAAGTTCCCCGACTGGTCCATAACAGGTAATATGCCAGTCAGGAGTGTATCCTAGAAATCAGTGTGCCGCAAGCCACTGTTCTGTGCCTGTTCTGGAAGGGGTTTTTGAAGGGCAAAGGGGACTCCATGGAGATCTCATTTCTGGGCCAGTTGTACAAGTACATGCATGTGAAATCAGGTCATTCTGGCAAGTAGGAGTGATTAGCGATGGGCCTCAAACTTCTGTGTAAAAACTCATGTGGTGATGGAGATCTGTGAAGCCCTGCTGCGTTTAAACAGGAGCATCATATGAGACCCAATAATGTCTGTGAAATACGGTGCTGTTGCTTCAGCTCTAGATTTCCTGTAGGTGTTATTGAAATGTTTTTTTTTTTTGGGGGGGAGCATTTAAAGACAGTTCTGTACATATAGTAGTTACTGAGGTTTGTAAGGCAATGCTGAGTCATTATTCAGGACTGCTGAAATTTATTTAAAAAAGGGTTGGAACAAATGGGTATTTAGAAATACACAAGTAAAACTGGGATCCTGTACTTGGTACTTCAAATAAGAGTACGCTAATAGGAAATACTGGGTTTCCATGTGGAGCCTTGAAGATATCTAGGAGCGTATATGGAAATAATTGGATCCTTGCAAATCACCGTGGCACATTAATGGAAAGCTGCTTTTAATCGGTGGGAGCTGATGCCATGTGATGCCAGTTTCACAATGAGAGCAAACTGGTATCTTTAGCAAATTCCTTAGTGGAATCTTTGTAACAACTGTTGCAAGACCCCAGGTGCTTTCTGCTGTATTGATAATGAATTCCTGTCTTACAAGGAATTACACAGAAAGGTTTACTCAGCAAATGCAAAAATTGTAGCAAAACATGCGTTTGACTGCTTAGATGCCTCTACAATGTCATCTATCATTAAGTTTACATCAAAGTCATTGGGATATTTATGTTTGTTTGGAAATGGGAAGAGACAGCAATTGCACATTTGAGCTGATGGTAAGGACAGAGGAACTAGATAATGACTTGTATGCTATATTTGAGTGTTAAGTACTGGAAATCTTGCCTTATCAAACATGGTATTTCTGCGTGCATTGAGAAAATGAATTTTAGAAAAACTGAAAAAGAATCTCCTAAAAAGCAGGGAAGAAAAAGAGAAGAAGTAAGAAAATGAAACAGCCTTAGGAACTTCCATAATTTTTAAAAGACAAAAAAATGCAATGTATGATAGCCGTTCTTTCTGGTGTGCTCCTTCATTTCAAGATGAAGCTGAGACTGATGGTGATGCCCACAGCCCAAGGGTCACTGATTGCACTCCCAGAACTTAGGTTACTACCTAAGATAGATAGATACATGATAGATAATGAGGCAGGGAGAAAAGCGAAGAAAAGATGGAAATTAGTTGAGAGCTGTGTGGGTTGTGTTTTTTTCACTACGTGCTGATGAATTGGTGAATGATAGGCTTATTCCTCTGCTGTCTTTACATGCTGTTAATATAAATACGGTTAAGCATGTTATCATGCTTATTATTAATAGGTAGCATGTTATCACAGAGGGAATTTAGTACTATCTTATTTTTATGTAGACTTGTACCTGAGGGTTTACCATACTTGATAATGACCTTGAATAATTTCTTTCATATACTTGTAAAACATCATTTATTTCACCTTCAAATTGTTAATGGGATTATTCAAAGCAGTACTTTCCCCAAAAGAAGCACTTTAGCTTCTTTGTTGATTTCTTATACTTCTCATACAAACCAGTGCACTTTTTGGTCTTCTGTCTCCAAATTAAGAATCCTATTTCTGAAACAGTCTTTCCATTTCCAAGCCATAGTTAAAACAAATAATGTTGTAGTGGTGCTTAACAGATGGGCAGATATTTTTATTCCTGTGTTCTGGTATTAAACTTATGCATGAGACAATAGTTTTAAGAAAAACTTTCAGTAAGAGAAGGCTAATTAATTAAACCACTTACTATTGGAAGACAAAAGAGGAAAGGGTGGTTACTTTGTATCACTGTGTTTTCTAAGATAATGTTGTGTTTCCGATATTGGTGGAAGAAGGGCTTGCTCCATGCACCCAGGATAAGACCATTCACAGACTCCAAGAACATCTTCATGTGTTTTGAGACAGGAAAACAGAGAAGGCTGATCAGGGATTGAAAATAGTGGTGACGGAGAGAAATGCTTGACCTTTCAAAGAGTATAAGGCTATTTGTGTTAGAGTTTTATTTGGAGGAGAGTTCAGTCTTGAAGCAAATCACCTCATTGTCCCTGTTTGTCATGCCCATTTATTTGTTTTCCAGAGTGGTTTCGGTATGTGCTAACTAGGCTCCTTTCAAAAGAAACTAAGCCATTCCACTCCTTGCGTGCACCAAATGTACTCTAATCTTTGATAGGGTCATAGAGGTTTGACCAGTTATCAGTCATTTTTGGCAGCTTTGAACCTCCTGTGGTGGGATCCAGTTCAGGAAGTTTGAGTAAATGTGGCCTGCAAAAAAAGCCTCCTGGGCTTCATATAGTATAGGTGTAAAGACCTCAGCAGCAGCTGTGTTTTGATCTGCTCCAGTTGTGCCAAATTGCTAATGCAGATATAGCCTAATGCCATTTATTGTGGGGTTTTGGTTTTTTTTTTTAAAGTAACATCAGACTGGTGATGACTAATTGTCGGGGTGTCTTAACCTTGTCGAGTGTTTGGAGATGGTAATGTTTTTAAATCTACCTCAGTTTGTATTTTGGGTGGAACTTGGCAGACCTTTAGGTAAGTGCTGTATTCATTAAGTGAGGTACCAGAAAGTCTATTCTGAATGTTCTTGCCTTTGTTTTTGATCTGACTGGTTTTCAGGGGCATGGGGAGGGGAGAGAGCAGAAGGTATGTGTTTGGAATGTAATGGTGCTGTAAGAACCCACAGCTGGTGCCGAGATCGTGATTATGGCTTAGCCAGCACAAATATTTGGGAATCATATTATAAAATAACAAAAAGCCCTATCCCAGTTACTGAGTCTTCTCCTTCATTCAGTAAACATCCGCTGTGGTATGTGTCCCCTTTTCCTGTGGGTAGGAGGAAATTCATTTCTCAGTGCTAAAGTTACTCCTTTTGTAATCTGTGCTAACTTGTATTTTGCGCACATATTGGAATTTGCAATATGATCATCTTATAATAAAAAAATAATCATAGGAGGAGCAGAATCTTCATATAATTTATCTTTCAATTATTCAACTTCATCCTTTTAAACTCAGTATCCCACACGCTGTTCCTTTTTTCCCTCCGTAGCTGCTTTTTTTCCAAACTATTTGAGATTTCTTTGTATTTCTGAAATGAAACATTTTGTCAGCTTAAAATGACGAAAATGGAAATGAATCTCAAAGCTGCACCAAGTACATAGGACCGCTTGGCTGCATAATCAGGGCTCTTAGAGGAAGTTAGTCTGCTTTCCAACCCTGGAAAGTGCCGGGGGGTGGTGGGGTGGGTGTGAGGGGGATTGTAGGCAAGTTCAACCCTTGGAGCAATAAACCGAAGCAACATGCCAGTTCAGGCATGAGTATGTGTGGCTAGAAGGGTAGTGTGAAGGATGGCTTGGTATTTAGTGGACAAAAGAAGAGATCAGAGAATCATGACTGGTTTCAATGATTGCGTGTATTCAGTGCGTTAACTTTCTTTCATTAACATTGCTTTTATAGCAACCTACTATAAATAATCTTGAAATACGTTTTGAAGTTCAGTTCATAGCAGTTCTCCAGGTGGCAGAGATAAAAGGAACTTCTGAGTATCAGCTGTGGTGAAATCTGCTGGAAACAGGCTCTTGATAGCATTTAAAGGCAAGGCAGTATCCTGAATTAGCTCAGGTGGTTTGAGTACTGGAGTTTGATCCTGTAGTCTAGCACACTTTGCTGTATAAAAATGTGTTATAAAGGCATGTAATCGCAGTTTTTCATTTCCCTTAGCGTTTCTGTAGGGTTTCGCAAGGTTTTACTATTTGCCGTGTCCTCCGGTTGTAAAACTCTCTCGTTGAGTGGGGAGTTGGCAGCGGGGCGTACGGGGCAGCGCTGCTCCGCGGAGCGAGTGGCTGGGCGGTCAGACGGCTGCAGCCTTCGGGCAGCTGCTGGCGGTGCAGGCAGCGCGCGCCCGCCCGCCCGCCTTCTGCCTTACCGCTGCGCGCCGCTGCTCGGGCTCTTCAGCCCTCACACAGCTTCCAGCCCTGGCGGGGATCGGGGAGGAGAGTATGCTTCAGGTCTTCGGGGTGATCCAATGGGAATTGCATTGATCTGGTGTTTAGCTCTGATCCTTATCAAATGGGTTACTTCTAAGGTAGGCTGGTTTATTATTCTGTTTTGCCTAACTGGGTTTATAAGTAGCCTGAGAGAAAACAAGTCATTAAGAACTTCACGAGTACTTATTTTTCCTTTTTATAGCTAATCTGTTTTGGAAACACATCATTCGTCATTTAAAATTGTGTTTCTTAAGTGTTCATACATGATTTTGCAGCTCTCGACTTTTGCCTGCCTTGAAGTGGGAAGAGTGTATTTGTAGCAGTGCCAGTTAGGAGACGGGGAAAAGGGGACTGAAATGGCTTCTGAATGGCAGGCGTTTGCTTGCCTCCTTTACTAACAGATCTTCAATTTTATAGCTCTTCAAAGGCTTTGTGAAAATAAGGAAAAACAATTTTAAAGATAGTGAGAATAATACAAATTAGTGTGTTTTGCTTCCTGGACAGGATATCCTTTTTGTATTGTTGATTTCAGGGTTACGGGAGTGGAACCTACCAGTTTTGTTTGCTTAGGTGAAGAACTGGCTACTTTGCTTACTTTGTAGCCTTTCCATTTGAGATGCCTGTGTTTTGAAAAATGCGTGCTAATGTTAGGCAAAATTGGGAGTTCCTATTCTCTCATTCTAAAGAACGTAAGTGTCCCCATAATGTGTATTGTGGTAGTACATATAGGTGGGATTGGTGCCTGGAGATGAGACCAGGCTCTTCTCAGCATAGCTGCCTAACCTGGAATTAATTCCAGAAGGAGAAATAAATTTAAGTTTAGGATTGTGAAGGAGGGCCAGAACCATTGGAGAGAATGAGGGAAACTGGGGAAAAAAAGAAAAAAAAAAACCAGACTTCATGCATTTATATATAGATAGATTTTTTATTAATACACAATTTTAACATTTTTGTACAATTAACAGGAGAATCTGAACAAATATGAGTTTGAATTTGTTGTCAAAACAAGCTTTGCCAGGTATCCATGCCTGAACTCTCCAGTCATTGCCAATGACACAGTTCTAAATTTACTTAAAGCCAAAACGGTCAGGCTTAGTTGCTAGTACTTGTGATAACTTTTGTCACATCAAGAAAAAGATCAGGATACCCTAATGGATGTTCACTTGTGACTGAAGGCATATTCTAAATGCCAAAGTTTTACAGCTGGTGTGCTAGCCTAGCACATCATCTGCATTTTACTGGTATACTGTCAAATTGCTGGTTTTCTGAAACTTGACATAAAAAGCCTGCTCAAGGATTATGTCTAATTCAGTTCGGTCAAAGATTCTGTTAGGTGGGAAAAATAGGAATTCCAGGTAGCTGACATAACACGGTTAAGCATAAAAACCTCTGCTAATTATGGTTGTGTTTTTAAATGTGATAACGGTTGTTTCTTTTAAATAATTTTTTTTTGTGTTCATCCAATTATCCTATTTTTGCTGTTGCTTTTGAGTCCTTCTGCCATTCTGATTTAGTTTCTAAAGGTAATACCCCTGTGTGTTTCTGTCCTCACTTAAGTCAATCACTTATGCTTTTTTTAACTATGCTTTCTTTTCTGATCAGTTTTCAAGCTTTTGTTTTGTATATTTTTGTTAAATCTTGAAGTTTTTATGTTGATAAAACTTTGGGCAAATCTTACGATGCCACATGATATACAACTAAGGTGTATAAGAGAAAATACCTTACAGATGCTTGTTAGATGTCTATATCACTAACGTTGATAACTATCATTCAAACAATAGCTAAGTTCATAAATGATTGCCATCTGTCTTGGGAGACGATCATGTGAAATAGCTTTATATGGAAGAAAATATTAAAATTATCACATTCAGATATTTGAAGGGGTGTGTGTGTGTGTCTTATTGCTGATTAGTATTGCCTTCCTGAAATTAACTATATTTTCTTATCGCTGGTTTGATAAACTTTCAAAATACTGCTTTGAGCTCCAGTGAAATACTTAGAAAATAGTAGTAGGACTGTTTTGCAGTGGCTTGCCTGAGTTCAACGACGGTTTCTTAGAGTGCTTTAAAAGAACATTTTCCAGTACTTTAGTGAGTAAAAACTTGGTGATGTCTTGTGGAAAACTGTGGATCTTACATTAGCATGGAACTTTTAATTACTTGAAATAATTCTAAGAATTATAATAAATGACAGTCTCACTTTTGAAATCCAATATTAGTTGGAGAAATCTGGTCTAATTAGTTTGCCATTCTAGGGACTTCTAGTTGATGAACTGTCTTAGAATCTTAAATAGTTTCCAAGTGTGTATATTTGGGGCAGCATAACCAATAACTTGCAGGTGCCATGATATAACAACTTCTCCAAACTTGTTCTCAATTTCTCTTCCTGAAAACAATCCTTTGATTGTTGGGCAAATAACTTGGGCAGAAAAGCCAGGTAGGTGAAAACACCTGACTGGTTGTGTTGCTGTCCTCTGGCTTTTCTTTCCCAGCTTCTGAATAAACAACTGAGTCACAAAATGAGGGTGTTGTACTCCATCAAAAAGCATAGAGAGTTCTTTCTGATGCGAGGTAATGAATTTTGAAGGCCAACAGCTCTACCAGTTTCTTTGTGCTGTTACAGAATGAGACCATGTCCTGTTTTCGGCTGGGATAGAGTTAATTCTTCCTAGTAGCTGGTGCAGTGCTGTGTTTTGGATTGAGGATGAGAATAACATTGATAACACACCGATGTTTTAGTTGTTGCTAAGCAGTGCTTACACTGGTCAAGGACTTTTCCGCTTCCCATGCTCTACCGACTGAGAAGGCTGGAGGTGCACAAGAAGCTGGGAGGGGGCACAGCCAGGACAGCTGACCCAAACTGGCCAAGGGGACATTCCATACCATGTGACGTCATGCTCAGTACATAAACTGGGGGATGCTGGTTGGGGGGGC